CCCTAAAACTGGCGCCATTCCCATTATAACTGAAGCCAACGCAGAGCGAACATGTTGAGATGAGTCAGTTGATAACTCCTATGGCAGGCAAACTTGATCAGTTGCAAACATCTTTAGACATCAAAACAGATGAAGTCTCCAAAATGTCAACGTTTAACTTCTACAGATTTAAAGATTTCTTTAAGAATCCGTACTTTCACACATGGTAGAATATGCTGGATAGCGAGTTCTGGATTTAATACGTGAGAAAACTTTGTAACTTTTCCAGCAGCAGCAATGCGTACTTCAGCCTCATGATCACGCAGCAGCCGAACATATGCAGGAACCAAGTCTGACCTAAGAATTACCAACCATTACATACAGTCAAACTAGATTTGCCACAACTTACAAACACTCTTTCATAAACCATAGTTTTTTTGGCTGACTGAAGAATACATATTCAATAATATCAACATTTTCAAACCAGATCGTTAGGTAGCAGCAGAAGGGGGAAAAAAGGTGAACAAATCAAGAACCCTCATTCAACAGTTAGGAAAGGTCACCCGGTGGACTCAGGACCAACAGCTTCGCAGAGCTCATTTAGTTGATTGGCAACCATGTAACGAACACGCCATGACTTATCCTGGTGAAAAAAATTCCATTTAAACCATTTTCATTTTCATCTCATTATTGAGAATAACAGGAAAAATTCTTCAAGGTGAAAGGCAGGCAGGCATATGAACTTGGAATATGACAACTGACTAAATATAAAATCAAGAAAGAATTCGCACCACCCATACAGACCTGCATCCCATGTTTAAACTGTTATTTTTGACTACTAGGTTTTCTGTTCACCCTGAATTTCACTCTTCATGGTAAAAAATATTTTCATCTTCATAAATTTCCACAAGACTACTGACAAGAGAAAAGCAAACCAAGGGGGTGGTGAAGTGGTTCTTTCATGGCAAACCATACTGAAAACGCACAACTTCCCAATCTTTATAAACGTTCACCATACCTGGGAGAAATTAACCATGATAGGAAGAATAAGTGACACACTATCTTGAGGATCCAACAATTTCCCAAGAGCCGCGCAGCCTTCAACAGCAAGTAACCGAACAGAATCCTGTTCTGAAAGAACAAGAAATCATTAAATTCGAATCTCAACCAACAGTGCATGTTAAAAAAAAAAATAACAGATCCTGCTCAATGCATAAGCATGACAAACTCAAGTCTTCATTTATCACGTGCATCAGATAAACTATACATCTTAAGTTTCTAACAAGAAAAAAAAAATCATTTTATTTTCTTTAATAGGAAGACTTTTAAAAATATAAAAATCATCACGTTTGTCCAAAAAAATCAATTAATTCTTATCCAGCAGTGCATGTTCAACAAAAATAACAGAGTCTACTCCAAGCATGGGCTTGACAAACTCAACTTTAATGTATCACATATGTCAGATATAACTAAAAGTGCCTTAAGTTTCTAACAAGGAAAAAATTATCTTCTTAAATGTTAATACTTTTAGAAATATAAAAGTCCCATCTAAACTACATAATTATAGGTCTCAGGTTATAAAATATTAAAACAATATAAAGCAAACCATAATGATAATTTATGATTAGCAATGTATCTATAATGCCAATGTTTGTGAGGAAGGAAAATAAAGCACCAAATACCAATGGATCATGGATTTATGATGTTAAAAAACAAAACATGAAACACAACATATAAACAACAGAATATTCTTTTCACATTTCCTATCTTCATCCCCTCCCCTCTCAAATCTATCACAATTAAAGCTGGAAATACTAGATAAATTTGACAAACCATCTTGTGTGAGGTCCTCAAATATGGGCATGATGTTGGTTTTCAGATGAGTAACTTCCACAGTGGCAGCAAATTTTCCCAGGTTTGTTGCAGCCGATCTCCTGACCATAGGCAGATCATCTTGACACAGTTGACCGTACAAAGTTCTCAGCTCAGTTTTTAAGGCCTCTGGTGCACTAGGGTAAGCCATATGAAACAAGCCGCACGAGGAAACTCGAGCTGTGAACCACTCACCAGCAGCCAGTCTCTACATGATGGAGATTTTGAAGAGTGAATGGTTAATGCACTTTCATTCTAACTGCAGCTAGGCACATTATATTAACAAGGAAGATTAAAAAGGAGAAAAGGAAGACAGTCAGTGCAAATATGGCATTAACATCAAACAATAATATAAAAGTAAAAATACACCCTGAATCTGAAGCCTATAGTTTGTACCAGTTTATGCAACACTTGAAAAAATAGATTTATGTTTATAATGACTCGCTCCACTGTACTCAGTTGAATATAAAAAAGTACATAGTCCAGCCTTCAAAGTTTTCCAAAACAAACCCACATCATGACTTCCAGGTTTGCATGTTCAACATTCTGGAGAAGTGAGGGTCACAAATAAAATATCTTTTAGTATAGTGGAGGTCAATGGGACCATTAAGACATGACTAGGCAGTAGACTTTTAACAATGGAAGAAAAGTGAATACCATGAACTACATCCTTGAGTCCACAAGAAGCATAAGTTAAGATTTAATCAGAAAGATGATAAGGGATAAAATCCCCTCTCTAGACCCAATGACCATAGCAGTGAAAACTAAAATGCTTTCTTATGGTTCTAAAATGAATAGTAATCAGTAGAGAACCCATATGACTTTGACTATTCTAAAAGTCTGACAGCCCTAGCAAAGATGCCATGTATGAAATCTTATAGTAACCTTTCACCACTGATAACTTGTGCCCGTCTTCCTACCTAAATCAATCTGGCACCGGTAGTTGTGGTCCGCGTTACTCGGCTTATAAGAACCAATAGAGAACCGTAAAATGTTCTGCGTTACAGGCCAAAAGATTGGCAACCCAGGCTAAAAAACTAATAAAAGAATAATCATTCAAAGATTATTGACCAACTTTTCGCTATTGTTTCTTCTTGTTAATAAGTTCTTTCCAATAAAAATTAATGAAGAAGAAGAGGTACTGGAATTTCGTACCTTTACCAGAGGAATAAAGTACTCGACCAAGTCTTTTTCTCTCATTCGAGCTCCAATTCTACATAGTGACTCCACTGCTTTGTCCCTTACGCAAGTTTCCTCAACCGTGCAGAGAGCTTCTAATGGAGAGAGTAGCACATTGGCATGTTCTACGCCTCCAACATATGGGACAAAAGCCCCCAACTCCTCTGCCATTGCTAGAAGAACCTCATCATCATCGTCATTGTTCTCACTGAGAAAGGGAATCAATTCCTTCCTGGTCCTTTCCTCCCCAAGTACACGTGCAATTGTGGAAAGTTTGCGAATCGAGTTTAGCCTAAGGTGGATATCGTCGTTCTTTAACTCATCAATCAAAACAGTTATCGGATACAGAGGTTCATCTACCGTGGCCATCTCGTCTTGTCTCCCAAGATCCTCAGAACTACAAGCAAAAGCAAGTTATATTACAATTCATTTGATGCTCACTCATGAAAAGTAATGATTCATTCCATGAAGTGCGGAGTAATCACTTGGCTTAGCTATAATTGATCGTTCACTTTCCTCAGAAAGATGCCAGTTTCATAAACCATACAACGGGCTTTTTCTTCTTTAAATTCTTAGCAATCAAATGCTTGCGAGAGAAAACAAAAACAAAAATACTAAATCGATTATCTCTCATAAACAGCAACGGTAACGAATTCAATAATTCGCATCTTGATACATAGCAATAACCAACAAATGAGCAAAAAATATTTAAATTAAACGGAAAAAAATAGAAAACCAAATAATGTTAAGAATGTAAACCAAATTATATTGCATCAATGAAAGAGAAAACGAAGGGAGCATAAGGAGAAGCACACCAATGGGAAGCTTAAAAGCCGAGAGAGAGAGAAAGGTTTCAGTGTAGTACCTGATGAGCTTGGTGGTTGAAACTTGGAACTGGATCTAATACGGGACGGTGGTTAAAATGAAAATGCCGCGGATCAGTTGTTGGAAGGAGAGAGAATGATTTATAAATTACAATCTTCCCGGGAATTTCGCAATACGGGGAAAATTTCTCTTTTCATTTTGACCAAATTGCCCGATGGCACTTCCTAATATGACCGTACAAGAGAACCCCCTCTCATGTAGGCCTATTTTTCGGGGTCGTTGCAATCTAGTCCCTTGTACTAAAACAGTTTACTACCATTCCCCTCCCTTTTTTGCCAATATTACTACAAACCCCTACTCTTACATTTTTGTGCGGTCCAACTCCTTCAGTTGAAATTTCCTTCATTGGCCAAAAAAAAAAAAAAATTTCCGCGTTGAAAAAATTAGTGTCACAATAGTAGTATGAATTTCTTCCATGCAAAGAGATATATAGATTTTATTTAATAAAAATAAAAAAATTATTTTAATATATATATATAAAGTTTATATATTATGCATTTTTTTAGTATTTAATTTTATTAATTTATGCCCTTAATATAATTTAATAAATAATTTTTTCAAGTTTTTCTCAAAAAAAATATTTATGTTAAGTATAAATTATATCTCTACAAACTTATTTTTCTGAACCCGTCACTGAATTAAATTATTGTCAGTGAGCCACCCTCCCTCCTTTCTTTCTTTCATTTAGATTTTCTTTGTTCAAATATAAATACTTGAATTTTCTACATTACATATGAGATGTGTGTTGCATTATACATGTCCTTGTTTATATCCTCTTAAATTTGTTCATTATACACACAATATTTATATGCATAATAATAACTCGAGGTTGGGATTTTATCAAATTTGTATCTGGTTATGCTTATAGTGGCTGCGAGATTGGACTTGCAACACTTTAGATCACTCAAGTACTTGCAGCTAACTAAAGATAGTGACAATCAAGGGACAAAATATTAGCTGACAAACAAGATACACAAGATTCATGAAAGAAAAATTGATGTGATCCACCGTCAATTCAAGCTGACAAGTAAAATCTAGATGTAGAGAACCATCTGATTGTAGGGCAACATATTCTGTAGCAGGAATTCAAAAGGAACGGCACTCTTCTTCTACTATTGATAATAAATAAAGTTTAAAGCAAGTTCTTATCAGATTCCGACTGCACAAGAGGTTTAACTAATGAAAAATATATAGCCAGTTACAATTTTTTTCCCCGAAATTAGTTGCAATTTTCTAACTACAGAAATAAGCACGAGGCAGCTAGCTGTCTGATCTGATTTAAAAACAGCTGTGGATTGTTCATCCTTAAACAGAGCTAAGATTGAGGAGAACAAGCTCTGAAGGCCTAAACAAACATATATCATCGAATTTCTATATGTTCTTGTCCCAATTTCGCTTTTTGGCTATAGATTCGCTCAGGTCATTTGATTTTGAAGCTTTAACCGAGTAAATACAACGCAAACACCTAAGGATCATGGAACATATCTTCAATGTGGGAACATTGCTGGTAACAAAATATTAGATACCATTTTTTGAAGGTCCTACATTTAGAAGCCGCAAGTGAGGATTAGTGTGTTGTCAACGTTTCTTAGTCTTTAAATCTCATGCAATTGCACAATCTGGACCAAAACCCACCAGATGCAACTGGCGGTTGCTGCTTGAGCGGGTCCTTGAAGTTTGCTTTCTCACTCAATTCATCAAATGAGTCAACAAGGTTCTGTAGCCTTGCAACAAATTCAATCAGAAGGGAAGTGAAAGTAGCTAAAGACAGTGAACTCGCACTTTCATATGTGGTTGATTCTTCCTTTTTGGTCACTACATCTTTTCTAAAGGATATACGAGCAGGCCAAGATTTCTGCTTCCTGCACATAGTTTCAGTGGTAACAACTGCAGGAGGCAGAGCAGAGTTACCATTAGGAACAATGTGGCCATCCCAACTTTCTGCAACTTGAACTGATCTGAGATCAAGCACAGCTTCACTGAGAGACTTATACTCCAGAAACTTCCTTTCTTCATCCACATCCAATAGGTCTTGGGGATCACCCTCTTCTCTTGGCCGGTTCCCAATTTCCCAGCTCTCTGAATTCACGAGAAGGTAAGATTTTTTGTCAATCTTCATCTGCAATTCTTCTGCCGCCTCATGCACTTCATACAGAATGTCTGCCTGACCTAGTTTCTCCATATTTTCAACTTTGTTTCCAAGTTCGCGTAACACTTTGGCCCCTTCACTACCCACCCTCTGAAGCTCACTGAAGAAAACTTGTCTTTTCTCAGCTGGAGCCTACATATCAAGAAGGAAATTTACTACATATATACTTCAGTAGAGATCAGATAGGGGCATTAATGGAAAAGTATTGATGCAAAGCTAAAAATTTATATATGATTTTTATTAATTTGAAAAAAGCTTACAACAATGTATCCAAAGGAGTATTTTGAAATGCTTTGAAAAAGAAGGGAGTTGGGTTGCCTATATTAGAATTATACAAAATATGTATGAGGAGGCAAAAATTAGTATAAGAATGTTTGGCAGTGAAACTGGGACTTTACTATAAGAATTGGACTATATCTAGATCGTCTTTGAGTCCTTATTTGTTTGACCTAATCTAAAATGTTTTGATGAAGCATGTTCAATAAAAAATCCCCAAATGCATGCTTTTCGTAAATGATATATTTCTTATTACGGAAACAAGAGAGAAAATTAACTATAAACTTAAGTTATAGAGAAGGACATTGGAGTCAAAAGGTTTACGCCCAAATAAGACTAACATAAAATATTTGCATTGTAATTTTGATAAAAAGTCAGTCAATAATAATTTGAAAGTAAAATTGAAAAATCAGATTATATCTCAAGCAAAAAAATTTAAATATTTGGAAATTATTATTCAACATGATGGAAAAATTGATGGAGAGATTGCACATGAAATACAAACTAGATGATTTAAATGAAAAAATGCTAAAAGAGTTATTTACAAACATAAGATACCTAATAAACTTAAAAAAAAAATTTATCAAACTATTATAAGACCAGCTATATTATATAGTAGTTAATATTGGGCTTTAACGGGACAACAAGAGCATAAAGTTGAAGTAATAGAGATGAGAATGTTGATATGAATGTGTAAGTATACACATAAAAATAAAATCCGAAATGAGCACCTACCAAAAAAAAATGGGCATAACATCTATTAAGGGAAAAATGGTAGAAAATCGTTTAGATAGTTTGGACATATACAAAGACAACCATGGGAGATACCAGTGAGGAGAATGAAACAAATAATTTTGAACCTTGTTAAAAGGGATAAAGGAAGGCCAAGAAAAACACTTATGGAAGTAATAACATTATTAAAAACTTAATAAATGATAAAGCATAGTGGTATTGTACAATCCATGTAATCAACCCCACCTAGTGAAATAAGGTTTTTTGTTCTTGTTGCTATATGTTTCAATAGAGAATTCACAATAAGAATAAATATATAAAAGTACCTGTATTTCAGAAAATATACATCCATGCAAAGCCATAACCATAAACGCACAGTGCCTTAGTGCTCCACTAACTTTCACATAATTTTTCCATGGATATCTAAGCATCTTGTAATGACCATGCGGTGGCTCCCAGACAGCAAACCCCATCTTCAACAACATGCAACAGTGAGTCAGAAAAAAGAATTGATATAATTATTTATTGATAAACTTGGTATAAAAATGAAATTGATGATACCAATGCATCCTCTTGGCTTGTAGATTCAACAGCTGATCTGTAGCCACTATAAACTGGGTCATCAGCAGCCGCCTGGTAAGTCAGAATTTTTGAAGGAACCCTCTCGTATTCAATACAATTAAGGTAGTGCTTCACAACTCCTGAAATTAAGTTCAACAAAGTTATTCAAGCAAGAAAGTGAGATGCACATAATCAAGAAAATGCTGTGGACAACCTTCCAGAGATGTTGCAACACCAAAGAAATTTTTGGCCACCAGATTATGCAGATCCTCGCCAGCCCAGATTGGATATATGCACATATTTACCCCCAAGGAAACACCAGCGCCGAGGGCAATCAGCAAAAACCTACTTATAGCTGTTTGAATAAATTCCCCGGTGTGATATCCAGATACAGTAATGAAACAGTATGTGATCAAGAACACACGGAACCCATATTCGTAAGGTTTCAATGTTGGATACAGCTTCGCATAGGTGGCACAAAATCCTAGTAAATTCACAGAGCTTGTCAGAAAACTAAGCATAACCCAAAGATGTCATGGAAAAGACAATAAACCGACGAAGTAAGGAATCAAACTGATAAAAAATCAGACCTGCAGTGAAGATACTGATAATAATTATAAATTCTTCCCATGGTCCAGCTAATGCTGATAACTCTGCCGTTCCAAAAGCTAGTCCTCCAGCTGACAAAGTCCCCAATCCTCTGTTAAACCCTTTGCTAAGGGTTGCCCCTGTAGAATTTCATTGTGATTAACTATAAGCGAGAGTTTGATGCTTGAGCCTGGGCTGACCAAAAGAAAAGCATGAAAAATAAAATTCACAAAAGGTACTCACAACATTGATTCTATGATAAAATAGTGGACATTATTTGAATACCCAGTTATTAGAGGAAAATTTTAATTTAAATAAAGCCTTGAAGGCAAAATTCCAGTATCGTCAAGTTGAATACATGAACAAAAGTAAAGACAACTGAAACCACAGTGGCTTTGAGCATGCAGCAGAATATGATTTACCAGTGGATTTATCCCCCAAAAAAAATGCATTGACAAGCAGGATTATGAACCTGGTAAAGTCGGTGGCAAAAGTTGTTGACTTGAAATTCACTTGAGCAACTATCTTATTAAACTATCCAATGATAAGATGAAATACACAACATTAAACATTTCCCATTTTTAAGTCAATATTTATTATTAGTCGGCTCTCTTCAAATTCAGAAATTTTCACAGGGAAGGAGACTTGACCTAAAATACCACCAGTCCCCACCACACTCTCAAGTTGGTCAGTCATCAGTAAGTAGAGGGAGAAGTTTTACACAGTGACCATGCGAGTGAAGTTAGCGGAGGAAAATGGAGGCAATAAATTTAAAAGATCTCAAAAAGAACTATAAAACATTAAACACATGTCCCGGTTTGGGGGGAGATTAGAAAGCCAACGTACCTATACTGAACTCAAAGACAACCACGACAGTAAGTATAGCCCAAACGGAATAGCGGCTCATCCCCTCGAAGGGCTCTTTCAAGAAAATTAAGAGGGAAATAAGCATCAAGGCAAGACCCATTTTGGCAGCGAAGATGACCTTCCTGTGATCAGACCGGCCCATCTCCCAAGCCTTAATAGCAACGCCCCGTACTGTCTTCCAGCAGCTGGCAATCCCATCGGAGAAAGCGCGATAGGAGCAGCAACACCTCGTCGGAGTCTCTTCTCCGTCAGGTTCGTGTACATTGATTTTTATCTGGGAATACCCGCCCTTCATAGACAACAGCCTCTCCTTTTTCTCAGCAAAACTATGCCTGAAAGAGCCGTGTTTTGCAATTCTGGAAGTCATCTCTGACCGCGGCGCAATTGAAACGGATGTATTAGATAGAGTACGGTACAGACTTGAGATTAGAAACGGAAGATCAGTCAACCGTAAGTCCAGATCTGAATCGAAGAATCAATTGGGACGGTAATTTTTTGTATCTCAAGCTCTGGGAGGGAAACGTCAACATCACAGTGATGTACAGTGTAATAAGTTAAGTGTTCGATGTAGAGAAGGGAGAGCAGAACATGGCGGTGGCCAATCCAATCAGATCGGAGGCTGTGAGGACGGGAATATCCGTACCTGCAGAATCTATTGTCGCTTTGTAGCTCTAGGGATAGTGAGGGCCCAGCAATGGTTGTCTTTCTATCTGCGCGTGGCCCACAGTACTTACCAATCAAAACCAACCGGGCAGGATATCGCAGAACGACACATCACCACTCAGCTCTGGCACTTCCCGCATAAATGCTTTTTTATTTTTTCTATTTCGTTACTTGTATATTATCCTCACTCGTTTAAACTAATTCAAATTGTATATGATTATTTTTACAAACGTTAATTTCAAAGGTATTTTAGGAATGTTTTAAATTTTTTAATATTTTATTTAATTTACTCCCTTTATTTTTATATATAAAAAAAGTATATTATACAGTTTAAAAAATTTAATTAATTATAATAATTATGTTTGAAAAAAAATTAGATTACAATGCTCTATGCTAATTAATATAAATATGTATTAATTATTTTTTATTAATATAAATTATAAAAATAATTTAAAAAGTATGTAATAAATGCTTATTAAAATTGATAGTTTTGCTTATATAAATAAATAATGATAGTTTATCATATAAATATAAACAGAGAGAATAAGTGTTTATATAAAAATCAAACTTGAGAATTCAACGTAAAATGATTCAACCCTGGAATCTAGACTCTAATTAGAGCTACACATGAGTAGAGCTTGGTCCAGTATCACCCTTGCCCAATACCTCGCCTTATATGCAGTTTGGGGTAGCGTAATACCCATTCAGGTCAGGTTTAGCCTAATTGATCTAAAAATTTTTTTACAAATATTGTTTAAAAAATAAATTAAAAGAATTGCCTTTCATTTAAAATATATTCTTTGTAAAAATTAATATTAAAATCAAAAATAATTTTTTAAAATTACATGTAATTAACAACTATCAACTATTTTTACATAATATTAAGTTAAAATAAATTTTAAATTTTGAAAGAGATTAAAAAATTATAATGATAAAAAATATCCTAAAGATCATAAAATTAATATAATTCATGATAATACTTGACTAAAAATAATACCAGAAAATACTCCCTCCGTTTAAAAATATAAAGCATTTTTAATTGAATCTCACGCCTAATAAAGTAGTTATCTACTCTCAAACTAATCCTATCTTTTTATATTTATTCCTATTAAACACCTACAATAACTATAAAATCATTCATCAATTGAGACATTTAAAAAAAATAATAATTTTTAATAGATAAAAAATATTTTATATTTTTAAATATTTAATTTTTTAAAAAATATTTTATATTGTTAAACGAGTAAGTAAATATTATTCATAAAACATATTTTTAAATTACATATGTTCAAGCTGAACTAAAAGAGTGAGCTTTGCTCACTGCCTAGAACCCGACCTGAAACTAAACCTGATGTGCCTGAATGGTTCGCGGCATCACCAGGCTAAGTAGGCTTTCGGTTGACGTGAGACCTTATCATAATTAGGCACAAACTCCGAGGGTAATTCTTTGTTTCTTTTACTCTCTTTTATTTTCTTTTTTATTTGGTTTTTGCAGATCCACTTTATTTTCTTTTTTCTTTGGTTTTTGCATGCCCACACACTCACAAATTCGGATATCAAGGGCAGAATTACTTATTATTAATGTTTAAAAAATATTGATAAGTAGATATTTTTATAATTAAATAAATATAGGTATTGTATATTCAATTAATTTTATATGTGTGTGTATTAAGTTTTGCCTTAAAAATTTCGTTCATCCCCTCTCGACCGGAGAATGCAATGCAAGTTGCATACGCTTCTTTTTCTTCTTGAATCCTTTCTTCCGTCATGGGACCCGTACCATCTTTCTTTGTCCCCATTTTGTCTTCTCGAGTCGAGAGGGGATGAACGAAACTTTCAAGGCGAAACTTAATATATAATCTCTTTAATTTTATATATAAAATATTTTTTAATCAAATCATACAATCAATAAAAATTATTTATTTAATTAAACATACAGTAATATTTTAAATTTTGTACTTAATTGTTATAAATAAAAAATAATATCTCTTTTAAAATAAATTAATGAAAGTATATATCTTTTTTTAATTTAATAAGGATATAATAGTTCATTCATTAAATAATATGCTAACAATTTTTTATATTTAAAGATAAAAAAATGTTAAAAAATTTTTTATATAAATAGAGACAGAGGGAGTATATATATTTATATGTACATGCATGTATGTATATGAGAATAAAAAAAAGGAGTGAGGTCTGAGGAGGGAGAGAGGAGAAAAATAATAGTATGTTTTGGGATTCTTTAAGAAGGGAAAGGTTTCCTAAGATGGCTCTAGAGGATCGTTTAGTGTGGACAAGGGTTCTGAAAAGAGAAAGCTCAATTAAAAATAGCTTTAAACCGCTCAAGCTTGAATCCAGCACTTCTTCTACTTCCCGTCAGGGAGTGAGTGAATTGGAGTTCTTTTTTTTTTTTTTTTCTTTTGGAAATAGAATTTTACTTTTCCCTTGGAAAAAGTTATCAACGAGGTAATCTCCTCATCTAATCATCTCTCATGATTTGATCAATGCATAACCTGGATGAAACTTTAATATATCATGTGTTTTTTTTTCCGTCCGATGATAAATTTTCACCTCGATTTTATCATAAAGTCTCTTAGGATAAGAAATGATATGGACTCAAATCAAGAAATTATCTTTTTTTTTTAATTGTGTACGGATATTATCAATTGCTTAATTTTTTTTTAAATTTCAGCTAAGCACAGAGAAAGTAACCACTTTTCCAGGTGCCTCCATGGAAAAGCTCATCACCCTAATCTTTTTTATTTCTAAGTACATCAGAAATTGGGGCCACCCAACCACATAAATGTCAATGCATTCTTTTTCATGGTAAAGTAACCCTGAAGTGTTCGTCAGGCAAACCTACAATGCGATTAGGTACTAGGAAGGTCAATTTCTAATGTTGTACCGACATTAAAAATTTGTGATGTAGGTATGCATTGTATCTGGGGGAAAAGGTTGTTTACTATTTTAATTAGTAATTGTGTTAGTTGTTCCTGGTTTTAATCACCCTTAAACTACTACCATTTTTTAAATTAAATTAAATGACATGATCAGTGTGAGAGATTTGGTTTATCAAAATCTGCCAATCGACAGGCTAGCTCAGCCTCAGCGGACGTTTCCCTATGAAATCCCAGGATGGGACCTCTCGCTTATCAAAAGCACCTCGTGGTTTTATTATGTAAAATATAATTATTCATTCTTATAATTTTATCATATTTTATTATTAATTTATATATTTTTTGATGTTACATGTCCTGTTATTTTCCTTTAAATGCAGTATTAGTCTCTTAACTTTTAAATATTCTTAGAAAAATGATAATATGATATTGTAATATTTTGAATTTTAATTACAAGATTGAGTTAATTAATTAAAGGTAACCAAGCAATAATTGGGTTGACATTGCATTATATTTGTTATCACGCTATATCTAGTGCCCTAGTTCTATAAATGAGCTATTGACATAATACAAGGCCTAATATTAATGCAAGTAGGTTTGTGATTGATTTTGGAATGTTGTAAAAAGAGTAATTAATAAGTTATGATATATTTGCCTTCCCTGTGATTTTTGATGAAATCAGGGTTAAAGAATATAAATGAGATGCATGTGTTATATCTATGTTGAGGTGAATTATACAAGTAGTTCTAAATCATGAGGCCTAACTGAGTGTTTAGGCTTTTGACATTTGATTGGAGTTTTGAACACCTTAAAAGTATTTAAGTGTGTGAATTTTGAAATGAAATCAACGTCATTAACTAGTGTTTATAATGAGCTTTTCATAAATGTCTAAATTACTTCAATCAGATGTCAAATGAAAGCTCAAGGTGCATCGAAAGTTTATCCTCAATATTGTGGTTTGACAGTATTAATGTTGTCATGCCATGGCATACTACACAAGTGGGTCTTGTCACGAAGCACGGAGTGGTTGGTTGCAGCGAACTATCTCAAGCACATTAATCACAGCAAATGATGCAGTTCAAATATTGATTGGTTTTGAGTGACTAATTTCAAAGGTTTCCAATATTTTATAACATTCCAAGCTTTCGTGTATTTTTCAAACTTTAAATTGGGATATTTTGGGCTTTGTCATGTTAGACTTGATTTTACCTCAAGATCTCAAATATTTATTGAGTTGCAACATATTGCATGGATTCAAATCCCTTTCTAGTAAGTTCTAGTTATTAGTCTTTCAATGTGAGTTTTTTTTTTTTTTTCACTTGTTAATACCATGTTGTATTTTCAAGTTATGAGTTAAATTTTAATAACCATAGCATATCTTTTAATTTAAATCTTTTCTTTTCTACCATGGTTAATTCTCTTTAACTGCAATTGAATGCTATTTATCATGGTATGGTGACTAGGATGATTAATTCCTAATTATTATGGTAATATCTGGTTTTATGAGTAAGTCTTGTGGTATATTTAGCTAATATTACAGACATTAAATGTGCTAGATTATTTGATGTGTAAATAACGATGTTAAATTTTGTGTTGAATGTTCAAATAAAGAAAAAGTGTCAATGTAATCATCAAATGAAAAGAGAGAGAGGGGAGGCAAAGGTTTAAATGACAGAAACACCATATGCAAAACTCATCAGCCATTTAACTTAGTTAAAAAACTGATTAGGACATTTAACACATAAAGATAAAAGGTTTGACCCATAATAATCAGAAATTACTTTCTGACGTTAACAAACACTACCATTAGAACAATTTACATTGGAAAGAGATTGTTGACTCATTTTAATTTAAACATGCCAATATCTTCATTAACATCATTAGTTACATGTTAAATAATTTAACACAGTAATTAATACCACACCTTCATCTCTCTCTAGGAATATTTAAAAGCAAAGGGACTAATATTAAAAAACAAAAATTAGAGAACCTGAAATATTGAAAAATAAATTATAAGGATTTTGTTTACAATTATATACAACACGATAAAAATTACAGCTTAAATCTCTTAAAGTTAAAAAAAACAAGGATCATTGCCAAATTTCAGCTTACATGTAGCTTGAACATTTTCACCTATTCATGACAAACTTGAGCTTTTTTTTAAGGAAAATGACAGTAAGAGCCCTCAGAGAAGGGGGAAAACAATGAGAGCCTTGAACACTTAAAGATTCAGTTATGTACAAGTCAATCGATTAACTTTTAATTGTATATAGATGAACATTAATTTGTTTAAGGCCCTCACTGTTTTGTCTCTGCTGGAGCCTTTACTGTTATTATCCTTTTTTTAGCCTTATAAATAATTTGAGTTTCCAATGACTTTCATACAAATTTTAACAGGTTGACATCCTTAATTCCATGCAATTTTTTCTTGGAAAACCAAAGCAAACTGAATATAAGTGAAAAGAAAAACAAAACAAAACAAAAATCTGCATTAACACATCAAATAATACGTACGTGCAACAACATTTCAGACGGCTCTTGTGGTCGAGTTTAATTATTTTTGAGTGGCCTGAAGAGTCCAATTATTCATGACAAGCTTGTCCTCCTCGTTCACATCATTGTTTTCGCTCACTTCTCCTATTTCTAATATCTCAACTCTGCGATTTGTCTTCTTCTTTATCTTGATTGCCACATCCTGAGGAACGAAGCTCCCAGACACTATTACCCTTCTCTGCTTCTTCTCTATCAGATGTGATTCCAGTTCTGGTTCAACCAATACACAAATCATTCACAGCATCAGACCCAGATTCTGAAATATATATAATAAAGGGATCGCTTAATTTATTTGTTTTTGAAGGCTGACCTGGCATTTCAAGAAGGGCTCTCTTCACTTTTGCGTAGCAACCATTGCAATCTACATTGATCCTCATCACCATGCACAAGTACTGCAAAACACAAAGCAAAATACCAGATCTGGTTTAAATGGTTTCTAAATTTAGCTTCAGAAGTTAGAGAGAAGGATGGTGAGTGGGGCTTGCCTTCACTGTCATGAAATCAATGAGAGAGATGCTTCAAAATCAAAATCCCAAGTTAGTGTTACAGAATGATGATAAGGTTAGCGTTGCCTTAACTTGAAATTGATTCTCCCTCTAATCACAGAATCATATTCTCCACGTAAATTACAAAGAGGTGTAGCCTAGTTAATTCTGTTCTGTCACTTTATTCTTGACTCTATTCCGTGTTCTTTATGCAGATGCCATAGAAACAAGGAGAGTGCACACTTTCTTTTATAGAACAAGCATCTCTTCTCGTTCTACTTGTGGCCTCACGCATTGATTCTCGTTTCTTCAAATTTCATTAACACAATCACATTTTTATCCTAGTCAATTTGAAGAGACTATTCTGACTCTCAAGAAAAAGAACGGAGTGAAGATACTAATCAAGAAAGCTAAATTTTTCCCACACATTATATCTAGAGGTGTCTATCGGTTACCTTCTTTCCTGGAGCCTCTTATACAATAAACCTTAAATACTGTGATCAAACATACTCAATTTACTTATGAAATGAATATCAGCATCTGATACATATGCAGCGTCATACTTTCGATATTCACTATCTCTCCAATTTTAAACATAGTCGAAGTGCCTTCCCTTCTAGAGAAGCAGAAAGAATGGGATGGGAAACAGAGATTGAGAGAGGAAGAAGACAAAGTTTATGGATTGATAGTGTTGAGATTATTTGATGGGCTGGTTCCGATCCATTGGGTGGAGGTGGGGGAACAAAGAGCTTTCTCAATAAAAACACTGCTCACACAATATCAATACTTAATAGTAGGCGTGGATATGTGATTTAATATGGCCAATTGATTATTTGTATTGATACCGATAATATTCATAGTGATATTTGATTTAATATGAGATTTAATATTCATACTTATGGTTTCATATGAATGATAATAATTACTTTGCAGCATATAAAGTCAGTAAACGGACGAACCCAATCTATATAGGTACTTGGAATTAAATTCAATTGCTTGTTTACTTTAAATTTGGTCATTTCTTTCAACTTGACCCTTTGTGACCTTTTCTCTGTTTTTTTATTTTTAAAAAATTTTATGTATTTAAAAATGTTTATATTATAAAATTACATATATTTTTTCTAAAACACAAACTGTTTAAAAATTTAAAATAAATTTTCTAGTTTTAAAATATAAAGATATATTCTAAAATTTAAATTTAATTTAAAAATTATAAGTATCTTATTTTTTTAAGAAAAAAAAAGGGTTTGCTCGAGCTCGAACCCACTTTTAAAAAACTTAACTAGCTAAGCTTAAAAGCCTAATTATACCAACTTTTTTAAGCTCAAGCTCTAAAAAAAAAGCTTAAATAAGTAGCCTGTCAAACTTGGCCCGCCTTCCTAACTCTAGTGGCATAGTTCTATTGAATGGCTTTAGTGGCTCCCACATCATTTGTTATGCTTTAGCAATTCTTAATAAAGTTCACATTTAATTACCTCATTAAAATTAAAAATAAATAATTGATTTATTAGCTTCATCTAAAAATTAACCTTTTTTAACTTTATATCTACTTAGTTGGTAAAAAAAAAATTTATCTCTATTTAAGAGGGTAAAAAAGAAATATTGCATTATACTTCAAACCTCTATATAATAAATTATAATTGGGATAATATTTTAAAAAAATTTAATAAATGACAGAGCAAGTGGCTTATGTATGAAACCATAATTCTTTTAGAATGTGTACTGTATAAGTGATAACTGGATATATACTCCCTTATATGGTATTTGATACACTTTTCACAAGTTTTAAAAATTTACTATATTATTTTTTTAAAAAGTATATCATAATTTTTCAATTTTTTTCACACGTTTTAATTAAGACAAACACCCATGTCTGATATTTTTACCCTTTTTATATGTTAGATATAATTTGATTCTTTTGAAATTAGAGGTGTTTTGCAGTAAATATTTTACTCCTCAAAATATGATTAATTAGGCAACAGTAAGAGCAGTTGAATTTTTAAGGGCCAATACTCTTGCATTATGCCGATCAAGATAACAAGTTTGGTTACAACTTCAAGTTTAAATAATGAAAAAACATTTCTTTGTGGAGAGATATCAACCAAATTAGTTTTTTAAGTTCAATCATTTAAGAAAGTAACAATCTAAAGTATCTATGCAGATAACAATTTTTTAAAATGGATCATTCATTCACTTTTAGAGACATTCCTCATTTACAACAATGAAACTCTAACTTCAGATGCAATGTCTTTCGAAAACTTTCATTTTCCTATAAGAATAATTTAGTTCTTAAATTAGCTGTAGTGATACCATAGGACTTCATTTGTATAAATTATCTTACATTAAATTTATTGCTAAATTTAGTAAGATACCATAAATTTTGCAATCTTTGCAAGAAGATATAGATGTCTTAATAGGACAACATAATGTAGTAGTTTTTATTATTTAATTTAAAGTTGTGATTTTATTAAAAAAAAATTAAGACAACACTTTACTCCCTTCATTTAAAAAAATAAAATATTTTTTAAAAAATTAAATGTTAAAAAATGTAAGAAGTTTTTAATTTTGTAAGATATAATTGTTATTTTTTTAAGATACCCTTGTTAAAGAAATCACTTTATATTTATTATAAGGTAAAATATTTTATTAGATAAGGATAAATGTAAAAAGATAGAATTAATTTAAAAATAAATAATTATTTTATTAAAAAAATTAATTAAAAATATTTTATACTTTTAACGGGGAAGTACATTGTAAGGTAAGTCTTGTATACTGCTTGTCTAGTGTCGAGAAGAAGTTATGTGGTTTATAATTTCCAACTATTTATTTGATCGAATATTGATGATATTGGTGTTTTTGATGTTTCTGTGTTTAAGGAAACATAATCATACTGATTTGTCATTTTCACACCTGCATAGGTGACAGATATTTTCTGAAACGTAAGGAGCTTTAAAGATTCCTAAGGCATAGGCCATAGAGCCTGCTTGATTGCCACCGCGGTATCGTTCAACTACCCTTCGTACAAAAACCTCAAAACAATTATGGGACAGTAGGTTATCATACGTTACCAAATCAAAATACAATTTTCATTACAAACAACTATTAATACAGGCAAGACAAAAGAATATAATTTATTGTTGACAATTATTAAATCAAAATACATGTATAATTAACCACTAGATGCCAATAATAGGATTAATAGATAATAAGCCCCTGATATAATTTTTTTATCCTAACTCAAGCTAGCTCTTAAAAATATTGAAAAGAAAAGGATTAATATAACTATTCAATAAATAATATATATCATACTTATATTGATACATGTCAATCAATTATATAAATGTAATGGTGAAATCATACCTTCACATGTTTATATTGATTTCAAGTGTTAACTCGAATCACAAAACTAGTAACCATGTGGTCGGGCACAATCATATGTTATACTTCATAATATTAATGAACATGTGAATTAACAACATTTAATTACATTAGGGACACGATACTAACAATCATATGTCCCTGTCAATGCTATGTAAGACCACAAAATAATAACTATGTAGTCGTGAGATTATATACATGATTCATACCAACTTTATATCTTCCTAATACCTTTAATATGGAATTGTGGGCTATTCTGAGGGATTCATTCTTGTGATCAGGCTACCGAAGCTTTTCACTTGTGATGAGCTTTCCAGCAAAAGCTACTACACTCACTTGTTGATCATGATTTCTCTCAAATCTCACACTATGAGGTATCATAACCCTAAGTTATCTTTCTCGTTAAATAAGTGAAAACTAATCAGGTTCAAGTCGCTCATTAAACAAGTGAGACAGTCTCTTATAAAATAAGTGAAATGATAAAAATATATGGGCAAGCCATCAAGCTTCGAATAATGGCCATTTCATATTACTTGTTCAATATATGCAACAAAACACTAGTTTAGCTTTAATTAATTTATTGTCACTACAATTATCCCATTTTCATGTTCACACAAACTTATCTTCTCAATAACTCTCAAATCATAATTTATGATTTTTTGACTATTTCATGCAATACTTACATGATAATAATTTCACAAATCTCAGCAGCAGTTTATAAAATCAAATAACTAATTAGCACAAAAGCAAAAGTAAGTTATTCTATTGTTGTCTCAAACTTTTGAGAAATTAAAGATTTTGCCTTTCAATACAAGTACTTTCAAAGTTTTATTTACTTGAATGGGACTCAAGATGGTAAATATACAATTGAACTATACCAATAATCATTAACACTTTTATTAATGAAATTGCATCCCTCCAACTCCACACCTTTAAACTCACAAAATTCCAACTTCTCACACACAAGCATGCTCATAAAGTTTATTAATTATCTTTTGCTCACACTATCTCCATTAAACTCTCAAACCACTATTAATGATAGCTAAACACCTCCAACCACATATTTATGGCACATTTTTTTGTTATTAATGGCCTTCAACCATCAATCATGAACAAAACAATAAATGCTAGGCTTAAATAACTTAATCAACTTTCACTAACTCTATTTAAGCTAATAGTTTCAAAACAATAACCCTATATGTCTAAAAATCACTTTCACAACTCAATCCATAACTCAAAAACTTGAGACAATAGAAGAGGATGGAAGGAATTGGCATAAAAGACTCACCCTTGATACTTGTAAGCTTCAAAATGTTTCCCAAGGTCTAAATTCTCAAGCCCTGGCAAAGCTTTGTGAATACTCTTTGTTTTCTCTCTATTTCTTTCTATTCTTTTAAGATCCAAAATGCTCTTATCTCTATTAAGAATTAACCACGCTTGTGGTGCTTACCACACACGCTGTGGCATGTAGTTCAGGGAGCCAAGCTTTATGTTTATGTGACTCATGTGTCACAACATCCAACACATACGCCACAACATGTGGCATAAAGTCACTTTTTCTTGTTTCTCTGCCTTTTTAAGGTCTAATTGATTCGACTCCACTCCATACCTAAACCTAAGGTTAAAACAAAAGGCTAATTTTTTCAGGATGTTATATATTGTCTGTCTGTTGTGATGGAGCAAAGCTTCATATGACTGATTTGTTTCCGCAAATGGCTATTATAGAGATTTTGGGAAATCCTATTTACAAGGGAGGTTTTACTAAAAATTTTACAAAATATTTAGGAATTTTTTGTTTAAATAAAAGTGTTGCAATGATTTTCAATTCTATTTCAAATGAATTAAGATATTCAATTATAGTTTTTCATGATCAAATCTTAATGGATGTGTGTTTGTGCACATATTCTATGCCAGTCAAGTCTAATTTTGAGGTGTGACAATGTTTTGAAAAAATTAATCATTTAGTCATCATAATTTTGGCTCAACTGTAACTCAATTTCTAAATTTTAATTTGTTATAACTCAATTTTTATAGTTTGAACTAAGTTATAACTCGATCCGTATAAATTCAACCAATTAAAATATTGGTGCTTATAATTTAAAAATAAATTATAAATATTAAAACTATTTTAAATTTTAAGAGTAATATTTTAAATTTTTATAATTTTATTTTTTAAAATATAGGAATCATTACTTTAAATTATTAATTAAAACTATAAGTATTAAATTGTAAGAGTCAAAATTCAGAGATTGGATTAGAATTAATTTGAAACTATAAGTATCAAGTTGCATCACGTCAAATTTTTAAAAAATAAATTATAACTGAACCAAAATTATAAAAATTAAATAATTAATTTTTTTTATTTTTTCAGGCCACACATTTAGTACAATTTCAATAGAATAAATAAAAAATAGTGCTCTTAAATTTAAAGGCATACTCTAACCTTAATAAACTCAAAATTCAACTTATCTAAATTTTTTATATAAAAAAAATTAACAATCATTAATCCTAATAAAAAGAGTTATAATTATTAAAAAATGAGATCTCAAATTTGACATGGGAAAAAAAAATCTCAAAAGAGTAATACTCAAATTGATTAGTTGAGTTAAATTAGCTTATTTTGAGTTTGAATTTTTTTGTTTGAGTGCTAGACATGTTAAATAAAAATGCTAAAAATATCCTTAAAATACTTGTAAAGTCAGATGTTGGTAATAACGAATCTATACAATAGGGATTTAGATTAATTTAAAAGGGTGATGATGATAATACCTCAACTTTTCTATGAGGAACATCAAGAAAGATAGAATAAAACAAGAATAATATTTAATTTCACCCAGTGAGCTAGGCATATTTAAAAAAATATATATACTCTCTTCAGTCTTATTTATAAATTATTTATATCAATCTCATCAATATCAATATAATAAAAGTATAAAGAATAAAAGTAAGTGAAATTTCAAACATAACCTTTGAGTAAAAAAATAAAAAATAAGTTAATCATATAATATTATTTTTTTTAATCTTTCTCTCTCTTACTTGTTAAAAATAATTTAAAAATTTCAATTTAAAACAAGATAATTTCATCAATAAATGATTTATAAAGTGAACCAAATTATACTTTAAAAAAATAACTTATATACTAAACCGAAAGAGTACAAGGGAAACATTGGGCTGGGCCTGTGAGCCATCCTTAGTTAATTCAAATTCAAACTTCAATTTAAAATAAAAAATTAAAAAAAAACAAAAAACTAAAAAAGAAAGAAAGAAAGACGTCGGCGATTCAAGGAACGTAAAACTGCGAATGGCACAACATCTGTGATTCGTGCGCTACAAAAACAAGTCGCCAAATTTTTACACCTACCATCTACTTCCCTAATATGCATGTCGCCTAATCAATTCAATGATGCCCACGAAACCTACCTCTACGCCCTAACCCTCCTTTACATTGCCTGCAACGACTCCGACCGCCACAACACGTCATACGATTCCGTGTAATCCAACAACCCGTCGAAGCTCACAATACCACCACCGTTCTCGTTTTCCCCGCCTCCTAACCCTACCGTCTCGTACTTGTCCATTTCATTCTCAAACCCCAATAACTGCCCCATATCAACTCCGTCCGAGCCGACCCGGCTAAGTTCTTGGCTTTCCGGCTTCGTCTCATCCTCTGCCGTCACCGATGGCGGCAGCCCCAGCTCGTCGTCGGAGGCTTCCAGGAGGTATCCCAGCTCCACGTGCAAGTCACCGGGTTCGGGTGCCGGGTCCGGAACGACAGAGTCGGGAGCCGAAGCGAGTATCTCTTCCTCGAAGCTTTTGATCACAGAGTCGAGACCCTGCATGGTGGTGTGGCGGTCGGGTAAGTTATCGGTCTCGTCAAGGATATTGAAAAGGTCGTTTTGGATGTCAGTGGGCACGGACGAGTCCAGAGGCAGTTGTTCCGAGTGAGAAAGGACGAGTTGGTGCAGTGGCGAGTTAACATGAGAGAGGGAGTCGAGTCGGGCAATCTTTGAAACGGGCGAGTTGGGTTGGGAGTCATGGCGGAATCGCTTGCTCTTTTGGTGGGGAACGTCCATAACGTGTGGGAAGATGCCAAAAGGTGGCGTTTGGGTAAAGGAGAGAGAGGAGGGAGCGTTGCGTTTGGATGGAGAGAGAAAGGCGGAGGGAGGGATATATATAGAAACGGAAGTGGGAAAAGTAGGACAGTGGGAGCCGCATGCTTTAAATTTAATGACAAAAATAGAGAGAGAGAGAGGGGTGTCGACTGTCGACGGGAGGTCGCTTTACTGAAAAAAAGAAGCATCACGAAAGTCTCGTTATTTTCACTTTTTTTGTTGTATTAAAATCTTCAAATATTATTTATAATAATTCAATCAATATTCTATTTTTATTTTTTAAAAATTTGATTATCTACTTCTTCGTTTTTTTTGTTCGTATCCCTGCCGCCTATGACCATAAAACTAATCTTCCCATGAATCTGAATAGTGTCTAAGGAATTGTTCTTTTTGATCAGATACAACCATTGTCATGCTTAATGTATTTTAAAAACATTGTATTTAAACAATCATAATTCCTTTCATCAAGATTAATACCTATTGGCTACTTTTTTATTCTTGTTATTTGACCAGGTTATTTTTTATTCTTATTCTATGAACTCCTGTAGTTTGAAATATTTTATAAAATATTAAATGTATATTCTCTTTTAAAATATCTAATTATAAAGTCTTAGATATAGGTAAGGTGACTTGTAATTGCCTTACAAAAATTAAAAAAATAGTTAACTTATTGATGGTATTTGAAAAAAAAATTAATTTACTTACTTTAAAAATATTTTATCCTTCACACAGACATATATATAATCTTTTACTCTACACATAAAATTCTGAAAAGATAAAATTAAAATAAAATGATTAATGATAATTTCTTTATATGCAAAGTACTCTTCAAGTCTTCTTTATAAATCATATTCATCAATCTTATCAATATCAATACAAAAAAATATAAGAAATAAAAGTAGATAAAATTTTAAAATTAACTTTATATAATAAATTTAAAAAGTAATATTATGGTACTTTTTATTTTTCATGAAGAATAAATTTAAAAATATTTTTTAAATATTATCTAAAATATAACATTGTGATTTATAAATAAAATTAAATAAACTTTTTAAAATTAGCTTATAAAATAACCACCGAAAGAGTATTCCATATATATATATATATATGGGACCTTTCATCCTACTCATAATCATCAGTATTTTTAAAAATAAATTTATACAAAAGATTTTCTTTTTTTTTTTTACCAGCAAATTTATACATTAGATGGGGATTTTTCAGTTTGGGGTGTCAGAGTCAGGCTCAGAAAAAGGTTATTTATTGTTGGGAGAAGAGGGGTTTTTTCTGGCAGGCACTAATACTTTATCTGCCTTTTCTTTTGTTTGTTTTGAACTCTCTTTCGATATGAGCAGACCAGTAGGGGAGGAATAAACTAAATTTAAATGAAGGTGGTGAAGTCCGCAGCGGGGCCCGCCACCATTGGACAAATAAAATCTTGCGGTTTATTTTTTTTATTTTTTTATTTTTTTGTTTTTGCCAGATGGTGCCTATCAGCGTCTTTTAACCGATGGTTAAAAAATCAGATCAAACTGAACAATTAAACTGTGGATCAATCAAGCTAACAACTTAGTTCAATTGAAAAAATTATTTAGAAAGTTAAGTCAGATTGAGTCTCTTTCGACCGACAGTCAAATTGAAAATTGAGATCAAATCGGCAATTAAATTCAGTTTTTAAAAATTAAATTGTTTAAAAAAATCCACCTTTTTTTTAATTTTTTTTAAATTAATAATTTTTTAATTATTTAATATTGTATTATATCATGTAACTTATTAAATCATGATAAATTAAAAATATTTAATTTTATTTTAAGTTAAATAACAATTTCATATTTATTTCTTATATTTATATTATTGCATACATATATAATTTTTTTAATTTAATTATTATATTATCGATTTGACCATTAATCCAACCTAATTGAACCATGCAAATCGTGGAACACTAACATTTTCAATTCAACATCCAATTCAATTCTAAAAACATTGCTTCTAATAAGATGTTCGACCTTGTACACATTTTAGATGGTCCAATCATGTCTCAATTATGTAGGGATAGGTTTTTCTTTGACCCATAAAAATGTAGGATGAGACTTTGAAGGACATGACCAAAAAAAAGTTCGAAACGAGATAAGACGGGTTACATCGCATCCCAAATATTTTATATATATATATATATATATATATTATTTTTTTAAATTATACGTTAAATATATTAATTATATTAATACTTTTTCGGTTAAAAAATATAAAACATTTTTAGTTTTTAAGGTGTAATCATAATCATTGACTTTTTTAAGTGCCCTTATTAAATAAATTATTTTATATTTATTTTAGGGTGAAACATCCTACTAGATAGAGGTAAGTAGGAAAAGATAGGATTAGTTTAAAGATAGGTAACTACTTTATTGAAGGTGAGATTCAATTAAAAATATATTTTATTTTTTAATGAAAGGAGTATAATTTATTTTTATATTAATTATGAATTCAATATTTGCAATTCCTATTCAAAACTAAGAGTTCTTGATATTGAGAATTTTAATGATACAAAGTAATGTCTTTTTTTACAATATATTAATTATATTAATATAATTTATTCTTATATCTATCGATTTAATAATTTTTGTTTGTATCATATTTTTTACTTTATTTACTAAAGAGTTAATAGTTTTAAATATTTCAACTAAAGAAGAAGAATAATAACTTAACATTCTGCTAGACTTTTCTACTGTCATTGCTCTTATAGAATGGAAGTCACTTGTAATTGCTTTCATAATGTATCATGTTTCATGTATACTTGATTTTAATTTATACACTTATAGTTATAATTAATGTAATTCAATAATTGACTTTAATTTAATGTGATTTATATCCTCGTATTGTTTTTGTTTTAAATTTAACAAGTTATGATATTTGATATTTTAATGAATGTTGTTATCAAATGCTTTTTTCTATATTGTCTGTTTTATTGGGACGTCTTGATTTTGTCTTGATCCTGTCCTAATTACTAATGAGATAAGATGATTTGCGAGACGTGACAAGATATATAACTAAAATTCAATCTAATCTTTTGTTCAGGATGTAACATCCTGATTTTTATATAATAAATAAATTGTGAAATTTAAGTTTTGAGGAAAAAATGATAATAATAGGAATTTATATTATTTGAGGCTATTTAGAAATGATATTATGGTTAAGTATTCAATTATGAATTTAAAAATTTAAATTTAAAACCACATAAGCAATATTTAGTTAAGATATAATACATAAATAATTTTTTATGTGTGTTAAAAAAAAGAGAAGGTACAAGGAACAAAAAAAAAAGGGGGTGGAAGGTTATTGTTTCTAAGTTCCACATTGGTTAGATGAGGGAAGAGAAGAGGTGCCTTCATGTATAAAAAGGAGGGGGTGTGTGCATTAGGAAGCATGAGAGGCTAAGATACAATTTAGAGAAAATTGTAACTTTTAGCCCAAGAGTTTGAATAATTAAATTCAAACCTATAGTTTTTTTTAATATAATTGTAGGACCCAAAATTCTATTTTTATATTATTTTTCTCTCTTCCTCTCACGTTGCTCGGCGTCTTCTCACAAGGGGGGATTATTTTCTTTTTCTTCAGGTATGTTCTAACTTTCCTGTTTAGATTAGCATTTAAAAATTTATTTAATTATAAAATTAATTTTATAGTTATTTTCTAAATAATATTAGCTTTCTAGTGATATGATTATTTTGTTGGATAGAGTAAATATTTTGATTAAGATTTTTCTATAGGATAGTTAATCTGATGATATGATGGATTAAAAATATAGGTTAAAACTCTTAGGAATATAATAAATATTATAGAATATTTTTTTGAGGTTTAAACTCATGTTTAAGAATTTTTGAGTTAAAATCTAGATCTATATGGTTGAATTTATGTGGAATCTGAGATGTAGGGATAAATCTCTGATTATTAAATATTTATTTAAGTATGAATAGGTATTTTTGAGATTATAGAAAGGTGATTTGAGGCTTCAGGATAATTCTAAAATTTTTAATTTATTTTTGGACGAATTTTTAGAATATAGAAGGATGAAATTGTGATATTAGAAGTAATTTGATGCTTAAAAATAATTTATTAGGGTACGAGAATTTTAGAAAAGAATTTGAAAAGTTAAATGAGGCATAAATCTTAAATTAGTGTTAATATGGATTATAGATCTAAGACTTTCTAACTCTTTAAATTAGAGTTATGTATTTTAATGTAAAATTAATATATAGTATTATGAAATAACTATGTAGATTGTGTTGACAAAGATAGTGGTGAAAGAGGAGTTGTGAAGGGGAACTTGTTATTCAAAACACAAGGTAACCATTATTAATGTGTTGTGATGGGTGTGTTTGTGAATGGTTATGTGTTGTTTTTATTGTTTGAAAAAATTATGAATTATTGAAAATAAATACTGTATATACTTGTTTGAAATTATTGCCAAGTGGGTTAAAAAATTTATTTTTATTTATCATGATGAGATATTATTGTTCGGATATATTTCTGTTTGAATATTTGAATGATGCATGACTTGTCAGGGTATTTAATGTATGGTGTTAATAGGAATTTCTGTTCGGTTAATTATTACCATGTGGTAAGCCCTCATTGGACCCAATGAGTGGCGTGTCGCTTGGTCCAACTCACCTTTGGCCGGGTGATTTGGCGTCCGAGCATGCGAAAGAAGGATATCAGGTGCAGTCATGCAAATTAAATACTTGTTTGGTTTGTTTGGAAATATGGTTCAATTAAATGTTTTTGTGTGCCCACTTAGCAATCGCATGATTAGTTACAACCGCATGCATCATTACATATTAATTTTTGGTTATTGAGACTTTTAAGTCTCATTCCCCATGGTTAATATTTTTACAGGAGCGAGTCCGGCCGAAAAAGCACCAGAGGTGTAACTATAGTGTATGAGACACCATCTTTTACGTTGCCTCTTATTTTGGATTATACAATGTATCTTGTGCCAACTTAGGACATATCTTCTTTGTGAAGTATGTAAACTCTAATCCT